GTGTGATTATGTTAGGCACAAAAAAATCATGTAATGGCTTAAAGGGATAGTGCACCCAAAAATGAAAATTCAGCCATTATCTACTCACCCATATGCCGAGGGAGGCTCAGGTGAAGTTTTAGAGTCCTCACATCACTTGCAGAGATCCAAGGGGAGAGGAGGTAGCAACACAACTCCACCTAATGGAGGCTGACGGCGCCCCAGATTCAAACGTCCAAAAACACATAATTGAAACCACAAAATATCTCCATACTGCTCGTCCGTAGTGATCCAAGTGTCCTGAAGCCCCGACATAAAAAGTTGTTTGGAAAAACGTCATGTGAACTCTGTTTTTAGCCTCATTGTAGCCTGTAGCTCTGACTGCCTCTCTGTGCACCGTGTTCACGTGTATGCGCTTGCGCGAGACACTTGGATCCCTACGGACGAGCAGTATGGAGATATTTTGTGGTTTCAATTATGTGTTTTTGGACGTTTGAATCTGGGGCGACTCTACTTCTGTGAAGCACGTGATCCCAGCCTTCCAAAATACGTAGGTTATGCATGAATTACTGGCTCATGACAATGTAGGATATGCACGAATTTTGGTGTATTACTTTTCATAGGAAAACATACAAACAGTGCATGAGAACAGTCTGATTCTGGTGGGTCTTCATTTGGCTCTCGAGGCTGGACTAGTAGTGATTCTGTGATTTTATGAATTCATGTTTTATAAAAGGTTGCAGAGAGGCTAGCTCAGTGAAAGAGACCAACATGAGGTCTTTTCAGCCTTGTAAATGAAAAGTAATGAATACTAGTTTGCTTACTGAGAAAGAGAACATGAAGGGATTATGTTGTGTAATAAAGAACATACTATTCTCAGGAGTGTTTTGTAATTATCTCTGCAGGATGGTCACGGGTCAGCAGAAAGAAATCTGGGTTAATCAACAACACTTTTCAGATAAGTACAAAGTATGCACACAATAACAATGTTATCAGCAGCCTGTAGTGTCTTTCCAGTTTGAAGACGTGTCTTTTCAGCACACCTGTCCCTGATGTCACAGCACAGTAACACAGGAAGTCTTTTGAGGCACCACAGGAAAAGAAAAATTAGCTGAAAGGAATGACAAGAAATATTTCTGTTGAGAGGAAGTTATGAGACGCAAAGTCAAGATTAGGAAAATGTAAGTGTAACCAAACTGCATGCATCAGATAAATCAAACATTTCAGGAACTGAGGGGGTGGGGGGTGAATCATTACAGCATTTTGTATCAATACTCAGACGCCAAGTATTGATTTATTTCAAACTAACATTGCAAATACAAATTAAACCTATTAGAATAATAAAAATAATTTTCTTTTTCCGTCCACCAAGAACATTTTGCTCCAATAAAAATGTTTGAAGGGAAAAACTTCATCTTTAAAACTTTATCTTATTAGATAAATCAGATGCCGACACTCACTCACTCACCGGCCACTTTATTAGGTACACCTGTTCAACTGCTCATTAATGCAAATAGCTAATCAGCCAATCATGTGGCAGCAGCTCATTAACATTTAGTCATGTAGACATGGTGAAGACGAGCTGCTGAAGTTCAAACTGAGCATCAGAATGATGAAGAAAGGTGATTGAAGTGACTTTGAACATGGCATGGTTGATGGTGCCAGACGGGCTGGTCTGAGTATTTACTGGGATTTTCAGCACAACCATCTCTAGGGTTTACAGAGGATGGTCCCAAAAAGAGAAAATATCCAGTGAGCCAAAATGCCTTGTTGATGCCAGAGGTCAGAGGTCATGGCATGGTTTAAACACCACAGCCTACCTGAGTATTGTTGCTGAACGTGTCCATCCCTTTATGACCACAGTGTACCCATCTTCTGATGGCTACTTCCAGCAGGATAACGCACCATGTCACAAAGCTCACATCATCTCAAACATGACAATAAGTTCACTGTACTCCAATGGCCTCCACAGTCACCAGATCTCAGTCCAATAGAGCACCTTTGGGATGTGCTGGAACGGGAGATTCTCATCATGGATGTGCAGCCAACACATCTGCAGCAACTGTGTGATGTCATCATGTCAATATGGACCAAAATCTCTGAGGAATGTTTCCAGCTCCTTGTTGAATCTATGACACCAAGAATTAAAAAGGAGGTCCCACCTGGTACTAGCAAGGTGTACCTAATAAAGTGGCCGGTGAGTGTGTGTTATCACAATATTCATAACTTTTATTCAAAAATAAGCTTCCATCTAAAAACTGATCTTCTTTTATAAGTAAAATAGAACAAATGTTTCCCCTTTACACAATTTTTTTTTTACATTTTCAGTCAAGAAACACTCTGACGTGACACCTACTGAAACAAATCTCACCACATCTTTGCCGCCTCTTTAGCAACTGCTTATGAATAACCTGTGACCGAGGGAGGGGATGAAGGAAGAGAAACATAAACTTAAAAAAGATCCTGAACAGTATGTACAAATGTATGACCCATATTCTCAGTCATACATATCCTATCCTGAGCTCTGGTGTAATGGACAGATATACTGGTGGCATATGGTGGTGGTGCCGCAGGTAAAAATAGAGCTGTACAGTCTGTCCCTGTATCTCCTCTGGGACATGCACACTATCATGCCCAATGTATATGTACAAGAGCATATGACTGATACTCAGTTAAGAAAACTATATAAGTTTTACTTTGTAATTAACAGATAATTTGCTACTAGTATTTCCATCAGGCACCAGTCCATTGATTCTTACACTGTTGTCAAAGTTTAGTGTTATGGTAAATACAACTGACTGTGATTCAGTATGTAGGTCAGTGCATGAGTCAGACTGAGTGAATCAGAAGCTGTTAAAGATTAAGAAACTGTTCGCCCAAAACCAATCAGCCCGTTCTCTTTCTGAAGTCATCAAATACTGTTGCTACTTCAGTGATTTTGGCGTCAGACACCAAGTCTTTTAACGTCAGCAAGATATGCGACTGGTTGCCTTTATAGTTTGACCACGCTTGGCAGCATCAGGGGGAATCGTGTTGGGACAAGAATGAAAATTAAAGCAGCAAAAGTCCAAGAAGGGTGGGTGGGAGTGGTGCTAGAAGGGTGTTCATGTCCCGTAAGATTCTAAACCCAACCACGTTTTTTTGTTGCCTAAACCCAACCATGTGCATTAGATGTTGGAGGGGAAAAAAAATCAGTTTGCGTTGTTGTACTGACCTGGTGCGTTTATTTTGAAAGAGACTGTATTTAAACAGTAAATTTCCTGTGAAAACTGAAGTGTACTTTGAAAGAAGACAATGCATCCCAGCCAACATTTGTATGTGGGGCCCATGTGGGTTGTAAATAGACGTGAAAATGGGACCTATGTGGGATTATTCACAGGTTCCACATCGGCCCCATGCCAGTTGCACATATGAGTGGGTTTACCCAATAAGGGCCCAGATAAGATAATAATTTTGGGCCCATACCCACTTGGTACCCAGGTAGCCCTAGCATAACCTATGTGGGGCCCACTTGATTAAACCCAACCATGTGGGCAACTGGAATGGGGCCACTATGGAACCCATGGACAGCTCTTCAGCTCTGTCCCCAAAAGCTGCAACACGGCAGATATGATTATCTTTGTAAAAAAAACAACAACATGCATCTTAATGAGTTAATAATCTAAAGAGGAGGCGCACTTTATGATTAATTATGATTTATAAAGAAGCCCATCTCTGGCTCCATGTTCCAGCCTACTGTACGTTTGTGCTGAATGGAAACACTGGAACATTTTATTCTGTTAAAAAATACACAAAGGGTGAAAAATACTCCTTTTATGTTTATAATTAATCATTATTTATTTTTATTGTATTGCTTTTCTAACTGGGTTTTCTATTTAAGTTTCACAAAAAGAACATTTTTTATCAGCTATGTAAATACTTAAAAGTTCTTCTCATTGACTAGGTAGTTGTATAGCAGGCTAAAAAAAACTAAACCTAACCACGTGCGTTGGATGTTAGAGGGAAAAAAAGTCAGTTTGTGTTGTTGTACTGACCTGGTGCATTTATTTTGAAAGAGACTGTATTTAAACAGTAAATTTCCTGTAAAAACAGAAGTGTATTTTGAAAGAAGACAATGCATGTAACAGGCAGAACTTGAAACGGCGTCCCAGAACATCAACCAACGTACCCAGGGTAAGACCAGTAAACAACAAAACTGGTTGTAATGTAGGGAGCTGTTGCTGTTTTTCCAGCGGCATTTTAAGCCTGAAAAGCACTTGTTTTTTATCGAGACATTGCTGCTTTTCCTGCCAGGAAAGCAAAACAGGATCTTTTCTAACCATAACCATGTTGTTTTTTGGCCTAAACCCAAGAAGTATAGGGTTTAAACGTATCCACAACATAATAATGTATAAATGTAATGTCCAGTGGTTTGCAGGAATGTACAGAGCTGACACAAGACAACAATACACCACCATTGTTTGCTCAAACCTGAATCTGTCTGCTTGATTTCAAAGTTTGGTTCAGCCAAATTTCCTCACCCCTCCACAGACCCTTGTTGACTTTTTTTTTTTGTTGAGTTTTTTTTTACATGCATTGCCACATTAAGTGTAAATAGCAGAAAACTGACCAACTGTAGCCCCAGTGTATACCTCTCATACATAGCAAAGATACGCTGGTAGGAGGGGCACTTAAGTAGGTAAAATGAATCAAGCTTAAAATATAAGTTACCAATATAAGTTTCGACCTCTCTGCTACATTAAAACATTCAAATCTAATGTATTCGTCCTTTGAAAAAAAGTACAAGACTTGGATTCTGGATCCTGATTCTGAATGGTCATGACTAATCAATGACTTTCAATGAACAACTATTGGAGTTACCATTTGATTACAAATACAATCACAGTTTCTACAATTCATTGGCATCAAACGTGTAATAAAAACTGTCAGTGTTCTCCAGCCTCTGCACGTGGATTTAATCTCATTGAGCTGTTCTCTGTCCAATGAGCAGAAATAAGGCAAGTAACTGGAGTCTGTTTCTGTCAGACAGCAGGCCTCACGTTGGAGAGGGAGGCGGACATAGAGCGGTCCATGTTGCTGGTGTCCTCCTCTGCAGCAGCAGCCAGTATGGCCTGAAACAGAATGACTCTCTGCAGCAGCTCAGCCATAAAGGGGAAGTTCACCACCTCCTCTGCTGTGTTTCTGTCTGTCCCCTGCTCCTTCAGAGTCTGCTCCGCTTTCTCATACATCTCCTCACTGAAGTGCTGTCCACCATTTGCCGCCACCATGTCATCAATCTTCTTGATCAGCTCAACCACTTGAGTTCTGTTCCTCGTTTTCTTGTTGTTGAAGACATGGTACCGGTTACCGCACCTGTTTAGCACCTCTCTTAGTTTCGGGTGGCCGTTTTGCACATACTGCTGAATAGTTCTGCCCTGGAGCTCATCACCACGCGTGAACAGAACGATCATGTACTTGGACGCCTCGGGTCCGAAGATCTTCTCCAGGGCTTGCACGCAGTTAAATTCTTCTATGGTGAACCTGCCGACCTGGATGACCAGCAGAAAGACATGAGGGCCAGGAGAGGACACCTGGATGCATTTCGCAATCTCTTTCTTTATGTGTTCTGCACTTTTAGTCGTATCCAGAATCCCATGCGTATCAACCACGTGGATCTTCCTGCGACTGTTGACCCGTTCTTTCTCGCAGGTCTCCGTCACAGACTGTGCGCTCGTTGAAGAATGGAAAACCGTTTTACCCACGATGGTGTTACCAACAGCACTCTTCCCAACTCCAGTTTTCCCGATCATCACAATCCTCAGTGGAGAACCTGCAAACATATGTAAAAACTACATCACATACGTAAAGGTGACAGTAGTGTACTGGAAGGAGTTAAAGAAGGCTGAAAAAGTTCCAACTTCACCTTCAGGAATTTGGGAGTGAATTACACCCATCTCTCTGTGTCCTCGACTTTTTGAAGAATGAACAGAAGCTGAGTTCACTATTATTTTAGTGTGACAGTTCTCAGCACTCCGCCCACAGGGTGGATCAACCTATATTAGTGTGATTCGGTCTGACAGTCTTCAAATCTGATCCAGAGACTCCAGTGAAACCTGTCTGCTGTCTGTTCTCTGCTGGGCAGCTAAAATGGCTTCGAACAGACAACCACCACGTAAGTGATGCTCATTTCTTCACTTTTTTTTAAAAAACAGTTTCAGGTAGTATTTGGGGACTGACATGCGACAAAGGTCCCAGACAAGATCCAGACAAAGGTATTACAATTAGTTAGTATCTCAAACTCCTGAACTATCTGGAGTGGAGTTCACATCCAGTTTGGTCAGAGTTTGGTCATTTTAACCTGGACACAGCTTTGATTTTATGCTAATCATCTTTTTTTTTTGTTTTTAAGATTATGTTTTTGGGCTTTTGCCTTTAATGTATAGGACAGAGTGAAATTGGGTGAGAGTGAGAGAGCGGGGGTGACGTGCAGCAAATGGTTGCAAGCCAGAGTCAAACCTGTGACTGCTGCAGTGAGGCATCGCCTCTGCAGTCTGCACATGGGGTGCCAGCACTATCCACTACGCTATCGATGCCCCCTAATCATCTTTTTAAGTGACATTAGCTCAAGATAATGACATCATGACAGCCTTTACTAACATTTTGTATTTTATTTTAATTCATTTGAGTGGCCAGTGGGCAAAGGCAAGATTACAGATCACTATTATAATTATGTCACCATTACACAGAGCTCCTAAAGTCATGAAAAATTTCAATTTCAATTTCAAAAAAGTAGGCAATGCAATATTCTAATTACTGTATATAATATTATTATACAGAGCCCCGAAAGTTCTGAAAAGTTATATTTCTTACAGTTTATATTTACATATTTATATTTAATTTTATATGTATATGTTTTTATCTTGTGTACACTAAAAAAAAAACTAAAAAAAAAACTTTAAGGGCTATTTTTGTTTAAATGTACCCATTTTTATTAACATTTTTTAACCTTGGTGTTTTATTATCATTATTCTCATTTTTATTTTATTTTTTTAGTCAAACATTAATTGTGCATTTTATTGTTGTGATTTCATGTGTAAAGCACTTTGTAACATTGGTTTTAATAAGTGCTATACAAATAAAGTTTATTATATTATTATTAATAGTAGTAGCAGTAGTAATAGTGGTAGCGGTATTACCTTGTGCGCACAAGATAAGATATTGTAAGAACATGTTACTTATCTGTTGCACATAAGAAAAAAAAGTTCACCTTTCAGGACTTCGGGGGTTTCTTGTAAAAGTGATTCTTAAATTGAAAATCAAAAATATGTACTACGTCTCAAATTGTTGCTGTGTAAGTGTTTTGTTTGCTCCTTTCATCCCCACAACCAGTACATAATTGCCTGACTGTGAATTAAAACATATTGTTTTTTTGTTTTTACAGCATATTCTAAAAGGTTAACCATCGCTCTGTTTGGAAAGAGGGCTCAGCTAAAGAACGGCATACGAAAGATGATCCTCCACAACAGGCCTGATGCTTTTGACATGACGTCAAACAGCTTTGACACTGAGTCAAACAAATCATTTAAAGTCATCAATACCCCTGATTTCTTTGATGACAGATGTCTGTACCCAGACCAGCTGATCATTGACTTCATGGCACTTTCTCATCCTGGCCCTGATCTGTTCATCCTGGCAATAGATTCAGAAAACACCCAAGAGGAGAAAGTTGTGACTCAAATCAGTAAACTTCAAGGTATCTTTGGAGACAATATCACAGCAAACTTGGTCGTCACGTTACCAGACCTCGAATGCTTCCATTCACTCCGTCACCTGAAGTACAGGTTCAACACCCAGGTGGCAGTCGCCAGTGAAAACCTGGCCAGTGAATGTAAGAAGTGGTGTGCGGAGCGTCACTTGTTCCACTTTAACTACGTAAACTACAGTGAAGATGTTGTGACAAGAAGAATGGCAGCCATGGAGAACATTAGGTACAAACCTCATTATTACATTTCAGTTCTGACCATTTATATATAGTCCCACACTACTTCAGGGCTAGCTTGTGTTTCTCAGTGTATGTTCTCATAGAGGGTTTCTGTCATCAGACTTCCTGAAAAGCTTAAAAGTCTCTGTGGTTTGTAATTAGTATTATATAATAAATGGGTATGTACTCTACTGCTTTCATCTTGTGATTGACAGTGGTAGGAGTTTGAGTTACGATGGCCATGCTGTGTGTCACTGTGGGACAGCAGGTAAGTCTCTGTTTTTAATTACTCCTAACTGTATTTCATTATAAATGTTGCTGAAACACAACAAAAATGGGGTGAAACAGTATTCAGAAACTGGTGCACTAATTTGTTGAATGAAAAGAGATAGGAACAGTCTGCCACACCTAATTGGCCTGTGTGAAAAGCTGCGATAATACAATAATGAAGTCTCAATGTCCTCAAATAAGTACTTCCTAATTAACTGCGTTTTAGCGTCATATTGCTAAAATTGGTCACATTTGTGTGCAGTATAGAACTTCAAATGTTACGAAGCTTTAACAAACAAGTGTCAATTATAAAATGTGATCAAGTTTTGTACATTGTCCATTTTTGTGTCAGGATCAAATGTAGACTGACTTGGCAGGGATGGCTGCTATCTTGTTTACAGAGGGTGTATTGTGCTTTTGCCACCACTAGATGGCACATTAAAGTGTTCATGACTGTCCATGACAGGTCTAAATAAATTATGCAGAATTAAATACAAAGTGTAGCAAACCCAAAATGTGCTCATGAGGACACAGGGTCGCAGGAGGTTTTCAATGCAATGAAAGAATATAAAAAAGTTAATACGGAGTGTGTGTTTATAAACAGCAGAATATGTTGCATCTTCACAGGTGCTGAAGCCATGAGTCCGACCATCTCATATCTCTTTGCTGCACCTGCCAACGAAGAAGCACCTCAACATGACCATGGTACGTTTTGGAAGATGCAATATAACACAAATGTCAGAATATAAAAAGATAGTGTAACAAAGTAAAGCTTCTGTTTGTAACTATCAGAAAATGTTACTGGTGACACCTCTCTCTGAGGCCATAACGTGAACTGCAGTCAGCGTGATAGAATGCTGGAAAATAAATTACAATTATGTTTAAAATGACATTACTATCTGTATGTTCCTATATTTAATTTTGACCACTGACTCCGGGATACTAACTAGCCTGCCCTTTGCAAATTACTTGCTGACATTACAAAGCAACCAACAGCAGATCCATGCAGCGTAGCTTTACAGCTAGCAGGCTAAACTTAGCTTAGGTTACGGTTAGCTCGTTGGCTGCCTAGCTACCTGTAACCTAGCTACACAACATGGATCTACCATTGGTTGTTTTGCAGCTGATAAAGTAATTTGCAAACCAGCCCCAGGAGTCTGAATGAATCAGCTGATGTTATCCACTCAATACAGTGTTTTGCTACATATGCTAGCTAGCAATTCATCCACATTAGAGAGCAAGCCAACGTTAGCTAACATTAGCCGACTAACCAAAATATCACAATATGTTTCACATGTCAGTGTTTCCTTTTGTTTGTTTTTTTAGCACCATGGGCACTGTAATTATGAAACGTGGCCCTGAATTGGACGAATTTACGTTTTATTAGACCACAAATGAGAAACGAATTAGCTAGCACACCCCTCCATCAGTCTGCTCCAATCCCCGCTGCTCAGAGATTACCTATGGACAGCAGCTCTGGAGACGGGCCTTCAGTCGGCAGCTGCAACAGCTCAAATTCAGCCAGCACAAATGTCAACAGCAAGTGAAGGTTCATGTCCAAGCCACTGCTACAAAATGTCAGGGAAACACAGCACACGTGGATTCTTGTTGTTGTAAGTGCCAGTCGTCTGTTGACATTAGTGGACTTAATTTCTAAGCTATTGTTAGCTACTGTTGCACACTGTGGTGTTGTAGCAGAGCTGAAGACAGATGCAGCACGCTGTTGGGAGAGGTTTGCCTTTAAGGCTGCCAGAAAGGGATTTCATGGTTGTAGTTCATCACACCCTTTGGATTTCTGCCTTCACATAGAAGTCAGTCCACAGTCTGAGAACATTGGGGAAGGTCTCAGTCTTCAAGTTACGTTACAATCCGTTCACCTATTGACACAACACATTCTCACTACGACCTTGTCACATATCAACGTTTGGTCATGGACTTTCCACGTTCACATACGACGTGCAGGTACCCTGGGTGTGTTGGCTGTTGACATTCTGGGACATGGTGTCAATGGCGTTTTTTTCCTTCAACAGCAAACACAAATGGTTAGGTTTAGGAAAATAGAACGGGATTTGGCTTTAGAATCTTATGGACGTGAACATTGTCTCTTGGTGGAAAGTCAGTGTTTGCTAGACCCGTCCACAACCACTCCCGCCCACTCCCTTGGACATTCCCCAATGTTCCCATTACATTCAGTTCTTTTCAATGTCCACATCTGTGTTTTGCAGCGTCCCTTTGAGGCGTAATTTTTGGGCAAAACAGTACTAAGACATTCAAACATGTTAAGTTATCAGCATTCCCATCAAAGTCTCTTGTAAGAGTTTCATGTTTGGGATCTTTCATGAAATGATTTAGTCGAAAACACTGAAACACTCTGCTGTAACCATATCCTCCAGGTGACGGTGCCCATGAAGTGCCAGACAGCATATTTAATATTGTTCTGCTGGGACTGACTGGGACTGGAAAGAGTGCATCTGCAAACACCATCCTGACTGCTGGGTACCCCCAATTGGATTCAAAAGACCTTTTTAAATCTGAGTCAAGCTCCATGCCGGTCACCACCCGGTGTGAGGTCAAAATGATGGAGAAACT